CAGCCAGGACTCCTCGATTGTGTGTGTTGTTGAAATGATAACTGCTGAATTTCTTTACAGTCCTTATTGGCTTTGGGTTGAAAGAGGCATGGAGGTCTTGGACTGCAGAAGCCAGGAGAGGAAGGGATGGGACTCAGCTCTGTCTATTCGGTCCAAACCCGACGTCTTAGAGATGAAGAGTGTTATTTCCTGTTTTGCGTGGGGAAAAAACCCTCCACCAGATCAAGGAAGTGGCTGTCTTTCTAAAGGTACATTCTGAAGTAGGAGAGCACCGGTTCAAACTAGGCTCCTTCCAAGGCGTGTTGTGGCGTGCACGCCGCCCTCCGTTCTTTCCCAAATAGCGTCTCCTTTTTCATGTGAAGTTAAAAAAGAAATGTCTCCTAGGATCATCTCGTGAATATGTTGGTCTTTATTCTGACCCGTTTAAAAACATTTTTTCAGAAGATTTAGTTATTTTATGTGCACGGACACTTTGCCTGAATGTACGTCTGTGCACCACGGGTGTGTCTAGTGCCCCCAGAAGAGGGTGCGTGAGCCTCTGCAACTGGAGTTACCGTGGCTGTGAGACACCCTTTGGGACTCAAACCCGGGTCCTCTGCAAGAGCGGCACGTGCTGCTAACCGATGAGCCATCTCTCCAGACCTCTTTCCCACGTTTTGATAGGACTCTCTTCTCTTAGCTCCCCCAAATGGCGTATATTTGCATAAAGTATACTCACTGAACTTGTAGCTACAGCTGGTTTTTCATCTTTTTAAAGAAGCCGAACAGCAGTGAAAAAGGCCGCAGTCCAGCTCTGAGGCAAAGTATCTTTTCACTGGCCAGGGTGCACCTGGCTTTTCTCTCAGATACGGAGGCTCCGTGCTTTAGAAGAATGGGAGAATGTGGTCTCTTCCCTCCCAGCTACGCTGTGAGGCTGACTTGAACGCGGGCTGACACCGGATTCTGCCATAGATTACACTTGTAAAAGACAACATCCACAGAAGCCTCCCAAACACCCATGAGGCCCCTCCAGCACACCCCAAGAATTTGTAGAGATTTATGAGCACATGCCTTTACGGGGTGGGAGGGATCAGCTCCAGGAGATTCCAGAGCTTCTGGGAGCTACAGAATGTTCTGTTTCCGAAGCCAGGGGTTAGTTCTGCACTCGCGGAAGTCAATTCTGTATGCACTCAAAGATTGGTGCACTTTCCTGGGAAACCTCAGCAAAGGAAAAATGGATATAAATGCGATTACATTTTGTAACAATCAGCATGTTCCTTGAGTTAGATAGAGGTTTTCCCATCCAAGGATCACTGGGTCAGTTGTGAACACTTGGTCTTTCATGGGTCGGTCCTCATCTCAGCATCCCAGAGATTCCCAAGTCATCAGCTCAGGCCCCTGGCCCCATGTACTGCCTGAGGAACTTATCATTCATTACAGCTTTTCTAGGTCAAGACAACTACCTGAAGTAGAAGACGGCCCTTAATCGAGACCAACTCTTGCTTATAGTGGGCCCATCCTAACCCAGCAGAGTTTCTGAGAATAGATGTAGGGGTCCTTCCTTTGACAGTGCTAGCTAGCCTTGCAGAGCCGCCGTGAGTGGGTGTGGTACTGGTCCCTGTACAGTGACCAGCAGGGGGGCCTGGGACCCCTACACACGAGACACCGCTCCTTTGTTCGTTGTGCTGAGAATGATTCCACCCTCTTCTAGAATGAGTTTCCTGTGCCTTTTAGAGGGCAACAAGATCCTGGGGAACAAAACAGCAGTATTTTCCTGGCTCCTACCCTTGGGCTGCTTTAGGAACGGGTATGGAAGGAAACAGGGAAAGAGAAAGGGGTGTGGTCCTGGCAGAAACCTTCACCCTGAGTGCCAACTCAAGGAGTATCAGCTTTAGCCCACTCTGAGCCTTGGCCTGCTTGAGAGTTCCCTCCAGAATGAGATTGGCCAGGTCAGGAGGTAAAGGTGACCCCACTCATCAATTGCCTGAGTGGGGTCTGGACTTCTCCTTTGGCAGGGTTTCATGCCTTCCGTGACTCATTTTGCTGTCCAAGGCATTCTCCCTCCTTCACAGATCACACATACCTCTCCTCCCATGTTTGCCTTTATCAAAACCTTTGGCTACAAAAACAAAACCTGGCACACACAGACAGAAATCTGTGTTAGTATTCCTAGTCCATGGTGGACATGTTGTCATAGTGATGACTGTACACACACGCGCGCGCGTGTACGCACTCACACACGCACTCAATTGTCAAGGATACTTTTGGGTACTTTTTCCCCCTTCTTAGACAATAGGCAACAGTGTTAACAAACTATTAACATTCCTTTCCAGCTTCTCTTGGCACTTTTAAACTAGTTTGATTTCCTCCTAATTCAGCCCTACTTAGTCATGCCCTGTAAGTAGAGCTAACTTTATGAAGAGCCAATGTTGTTTGCTTTCAGGCTTATTCATTGTTGGGGCCAACCTGCAATGCTGTCAAAGGTACAGAGGATGTTAGCGTAACATGGTGCATTGGTTACTTTTCCGCTGCTCTGATAAAACATAAAACAACAAAGGCGACTTATAAATGGATAGCTTTACTTGGGCTTATGGTTCCAGAGGGATGGCCTAAGGGACAGGAAGCTGAGGATTCACATCTTGAATCGCAAGCACAAAGCAGAAAGAGTGAACAGCAAGGACAAGAAGCCTTAAACTCTTAAAGCCCAACCCTGTTGACTTGCTCCCTTTAGTAATGCCACACCTCCTAAAAGCTCCTAAATCAGCTTCCAAAACAGTGCCACAAACTAGGGACCAAGTGTTCAAATACACGAACTTTGACTTGGGTGGGGTGCTTCATTCAAACCACCACGTATGGGAATTGACTTCTATGACTATAAGGCCCTTAATTTATTTGCTGAAATTTAGATTTCTCACTGTATTGCTTTGATTTTAACTTATGGCTTTAATGTAATTATTTTTAGAGTCAAGCTGCCAGAGAGATATTACAAGATTTGAGTATTTATTAATTAGTTCCATTTGATGTCCTATCTGACTAATTGGTTTTTGGACAATCATATAGCTTCTTTAAAAACTGGACTTATATGAACACTATAACTGGATGGGTTGGATAAAATATATTCCACTGTCAACATGTGTGGGGAAAGTTGTGGAATTTAGTTTAACTGTGTTTAGTAAGGTCCTGGCCTTCTGCGGCTCAAACCAAACACACTCATTGCTCTTAACTCAAGGCTGCGGAAGAAGGTGGTGCTTCCTGGGATGTCTCTATGAAGTCTCTCCCTCAGCGTAAGACTCCCCATCATTGCCTATAAGTAGGGCAGCTGGCAGACTCAATAGCTACTTGGAAGTGGACTGCCCGTCTAGGCTCTGGTCAGTGATTTTCCCCACACTGGGCACTTTGCCATACTTAGGAGTTCAATGCATCAGAGATGGTGTTAATAGCGCTCACTGCAGTGTCTGGCCACTAGGGGCACACCTCTTTCCAGCTCCTCGTTTGAAGGCTCCTCCTGCTATCTGTGTGATCTGGGTAGTGACCTGACTTAATAGAGGCTCTGTGGTCTTCTCTGTAAAATAGAGATGCTGCCCTCCCGTCATACTGTTGAAGAAGGAGACAGTACTTGTGGAAATCCTTGTTACAGCGTTTGGCAGTGAGTAGCATGTACCCTATCCACCAATCACTGTTTTAATTACTCGTATGCTACTTGATGTGGGAAATTCTGTTGTCCCCTTCCCCTCCTGTTTCTGTTACATTGTATTACAGATGCCTTTAGAAGGAATTTTTAAAAAACCTTTGGGGACAGCCTGGTCTACAGTGAAACTTCCAGGATAGTCAGGGATACACAGAGAAATCATGTCTCAAAAAACTAAATAAATTAGTAAGAAGCAACAAAATACACATTTTAAACAAGGCAGTGGTGGTGCACACCTTTAATCCCAGCACTCAGGAGGTAGAGGCAGGTGAATCTCTGAGTTCAAGGTCGACCTGGTCTATAGGACAGCCAAGGTTACATATAGAAACCCTATCTCCAAAATAAATAAATAAATAAATAAAACCCTTTGGTATAAGAAACACACTGCCTTTCTCAAAGAAACAAAAAACCAAAAAATGAAAAACAACAGCAACAAAACTGAAGCAAATAGACTATTTGCTTCACAATGTAATGTATTCACATTACATTGACTTCCTCTTTCCAACAATTCCAAGTGCCCATTTCAGTGACATTTAGTAGTTTCACAGCATCATACAACCATTGCTGTCTAGTTCCAGAATATCTTCATCACTCCCAAAAGGGACCCATGACCATTAAACAGTCACATCCACTCTGTCCCCGCTCTGTGGGTTTGCTGACTCCGTAGATGTCATCTTCACAGACTATCATAACACGGGCTCTTCTGTTTGACTTCTTTCACTTAGCATGGTGTCTGCGGGGTTCCTTCATGTTATAATATGTGAATCCTTGGTTCTGTTTGATGTCTGGATGATAGTCCCTTACAGGTTTTCTTAGATTTAGCCTCCACATTCATCAGTTTAGGGTGCTTCCACCTCTGCTTGTTATAAATACTGCTGAGACGAGCAGTAGTCTGTAACTTTCCCCTTGAGCACCAGTTTTCAGTTCTCTTAGAAGTAAAATTGCATATTGTGTAATAATTCTGGGCCTACACTTTTTGAGAAACTGCCAAACCCTTCTCTGCTGTGCTGTATGTTCTATGTGCACACCGATAACAGGGCCTAACTTCCCTACATCCTTCCCAGCGCCAGTTACTTCCTATGATTGTGTTGTTCTCATAGTGATGTGAAATGGTCCTTCACTGTGGTTTAGAAGTGCTTTGTAGTACTGGCTGCATATGTATACTAATGTTCTTAAACCTGTCATATTTCAACTCCATGGAGGAGTTGCAGAGTCTTTTGACCACGGGAGTCTATAATATGTGGTATGGCCTCGCTGCTAAGTAGCTAAGTAGAGGTGATGTCTAACCTCTGTAATTCTTTAGCCTCACCAATTATTTTTCTGTTGGTTTTAGGGATTTCCTCCGAGACATTCAAAATGGTCTTTAGACACACCGGATAGGAGCTGACACCTGCCCGCGTGGCCTTCATCCTCTCAGCTTCACCGTCTTCTCATGGCATTTTGGCTGCACTGAGCCCAAGTGACCAGCTCTTCATAATGAGTGATGAGAAGAACCTGGGTGTGTCCCAAAAATTGGTTTCTCCTTCAAGAAGCACAAGCAGCTGTTCCTCCAAGCAAGGAAGCCGACAGGTAACCCTTGAACTCTTGTTGCTCTTCAAATGCAAAATTGAATCCCAAGGCTTTGCAGGTACAGGTGTGAGTTCCCTTGGGAGACTCCACCTCTCAGTTCTCAGCTCTCAGAGAGCAAGCACTTGCTTACATACCTAGTGACACGATGGGGCGCGATCCGTGTTCGCCAGGGTCCTGAGAGCTGCCTTTGGCTCTTTGTGTTGCTTGCTCTGCCTTTGCAGCTGTGTACCCACGCAGGCGCCGGCATTCCCAGTTCCCTCCAGGGAAACGGAATCATACCAGCCAGAGTACCCGCCCCAGAGAGGACCAGGTGCCAAACCAAAACGCCACCTCTTTTGCTCCACAGGACCCTCCTTTTCTTTTTGAGAGATTTATTCATTTTTATTTTATGTGGACGGTTGTTTTGCCTGCATATGTGTTTGTGTACCACATGTGTATAACGTATGCAGAGGCTGGAAGATGGTATTGGTTCTCCTGGAACTGAAGTTGTTATACTGGTTGTCAGTTGCCATTGTGGGTGCTGGGAACTTAGCTCCAGTCCTCAGCGAGCGTGACAATGCTCTTAACTGCTGAGCCGTCTCTCCAGCCCTCCCACCTTTTCTTATACTCTATCAACCAACATAAGCAGCAATCAAGTATCCAATCATCAAACATCCACAACCCCCCACCCGTCCACCCCCCTGCTTCCTTCTATTCACCAAGCCTTTGAGGAAAGCTTGTACCTCCAGATTGCCTGTGAGGAGCTAAGTCCTCTCCTGCTTCCTTTTCTAATGGGCTGAGGGAAGCCAGTCAATGGGGAAAGAGTGACAGGCAGAGAGCCGTCAAACAGGACAGAATTAAGTCCTAAGGAACTGGCTGTGGTCACTGGTTGTTTCACGGTTTCCTTTCCAAGGAAAGGAGAATCTGGCTTTGCTGGCAGATCTGCTGGTGTCTAATCCGCGGCAATAAGGGCTTATCAGTGACTATGATCTAGCCTGCTTCACTAAATCGGGAGGGGGGAGGCACAGGGGATATACAAGAAAGGTGGATTTTTCAACCCGAGAGACCTTGGTATTTACTGGCTCGATGGGCATTCCCTTTGCCCTGTGGGAAGTTGTGGCCTAAGAATTTGCTTTTGTCCAGATTTGGAAGCAATAATTAATCACTGGCCCACCCTGGGAACGTTGTACAATGGTGACTCAGCTAAGTGTCTCTTACTTTGAACATTTGTCTCAGTCAGGGAGCTTGCCACCCACAGGTCCATGATTCTTAACACATTAAAGTTTGCTGTGAGCTTGACATGTAGGGAGACCTTTAAGATCTCTTTTGAGAAATAAGAAAGAGTGTGGGGTTTTTTTTGTTTATTTTTATCTTTTTAGTATTTATCTTTGTGTGTCTCTGGGTGCGTGTGTGCATGCATGTGTGTGTGCTCGCTTGTTTCTGTTGGTGAATGTGGCTGCACCTGTGCCATGATGTGCATGTGGAGGCTGGAGAGCAATCGCAGTATAGATTCTCACTTCTGCCTTATTTGAAACAGTCTCATTGTTTCTCTGATGCTTACGCCAGGCTAGTTGGCCATAACCTCCAGGGACTCTCCTATCTCTACTTCCCATCTTGTATGAATGTTGATGTTTCGGATTCTTGTGCTGTGGCGTGTCTATAGTGAGCGGCTCAGGCCCTCATGTTTGTGTGTGTGGTGGCTCAGTGTTTGTTTGTTTGTTTGTCAGGCCGGTACAAACTCAGGTCATCTCAGAAGGTAAAACCTCAGCTGACAAAAATGCCTCCATTAGATTGGCCTGTAAACAAGTCTATGGGGGCATTTCTTTCTTTCTTTTTTTTTTTTTTTTTTTTTTGCTTAATGATTGTGGGCACTAATCATTAATTAGTGCGAACAATGCTGCCCCTAGGCAGGTACCCCTCGGTTGCATAAGGAAAACAAACCAAGCAAGTCACAGGGAGCAAGCCAACAAGCAGCATTCCTCCAGAGTTTCTGCTTCAGTCCTTGCCTCCAGGTTCCTGCCCCGCTTGAGTTCCTGCCCTGGCTTCCCCCAATGATGGACCGTAATCAGGCCATTAAGCCAAATAAACTCTTTCTTCCCCAAATTGGTTTTGGATGTGGTCTTTCTCACAATAGAGGAAGCAAACTAAAACATGTGACAAACACTTTTCCCCACTGACCTAACTCCCCTGCCTCTGGGATATTTTTCTAAAGACTGAATTTGTTGCTGACTAACGCACCAAAGGTCCCGAGAGGTCTGCTCTCCTGGGAATGGCTGTGCCTACCCACTTGACCGGCTTCAGCCATCACGCAGAACTGGGGAAGAGTGATTTGTCTCCTACCCTGGCCACTTACTCTAAGCAGCATGTCTCCTTCTGCCCTCCTTTGCTCCACAGGGAGGACAGCTCCCCACAGGAGCTGCCGCATTTCCAGCCTCACTGCAAGAGCTTTTTCTAGAGTGTTCATTGAGATTGGCCGATTGGGTTTTCACAATGCTCTTTTCCCTCCCAGTTTCCATGAAAACAGCAAGAGGGTCCCACCCAGTGCATCGTTTCTTTACCATGCATCATGGTCATCTTTTATAGTAGACCTTCCGCTTTGATCTGTGTAATCAGCACACATAGCTGCCTTCCGCGCTGCTCAGGGTTCTGTCAGCTTGGCACAAGCTAGTGTCACCTGGGAGGAGGGACCCTTCACTGCAGAACTGCCTCTAGCGGATTGACCTGTAGGTATGTCTGTGGGACATTGACTTGATTGCTGGTTAACGCGGGGGGATCAGCCCACTGTGGGCGGTGCCACCCCTGCACGTGTGGTCCTGGTTGGTATGAGAAAGCAAGAGGAACTGGCCACGGGGAGCAAGCCAGTGAACTGTGTTCCTCCAGGCTCCTCCCTTGGGTTCCTGCTCTGACTTCCTTTGGGAACAGACACATCAGGACACGGAGGCCCAATAAACCCTTTCCTTTCCAAGCTGCTTTTGGTGTGGATCACAGCAGAGGAAAGCAAACGAGAACACTTTGTTAGCATGAATGTTAATATTTGCTCCGTGACAGAGAAAGTAGAGAGTTCAATATATTCAGTTTACAGCTAGCCTGAGTTTAGTTATAAAACCCCTATTTGATTTGGAGGGACCATGTGTTGAGTCTCCCCGCCGTCCCATTTTCAGACAAAGGAAAGTGTTCTGACCCAGAATGTGATGCCCCTGTCACCACCAGTCTTTGTCGGTCTCACACAGTGGCCTGGATACTGCCCGGGTCTCAGGAGCCTTGGATGCTCTCCCTTGCTGGCCCTTTGGGGACTCAGCTGCTCCCACTGCATCTGTCAGTTGCTAAATAAAGCGCACAGTGCATTTCCAGCCTCATCACAGGCTGTACGAGCTAGATGCTTAAAGCGGCAAGATTTCCACATCACAGGCTGGACCGGAGGAACGTTAAAATGCTAGCTAGGGACATGTGCGGTCACCTCCTTGTACTGAAGGTGCCACTTTGAAACCCTTTCAGGCTGCCCTGGCTTTCCTCTTCTTCGGAGCAGGTTTGTCCCTGTTGATGTCACTGGCCACTATCTGTGGTGCTAGCCTTCCTTGAGTGCTCTGAACTGTGGGAAGAGCCTCTTCTTGCCTGTCCCCTGTGAGATCTACAGTTACCCGCCTTGGTTTAGGATGTGCTGTTGCCGACCTTCCACTCCCAGGGACGCTGATCCAGGGCAAGTGTCACCTTGCATTGGGACTTGTTTCCACGTGAGAATGGAATGTCCCAGATCCCCAGAAGACCAGGAGATAACCTGGCCCAGGTTCAGCTGCCTCCTTCCACTTCCCTGGATGAGCAGATGGCAAAGCCTCCTCTCCCTGTGCTGTGGGGACTTCCTCTGAATCATCTCGATTTGCAGCAGCGAGGGTGGGGAAGGGTTAGCTCCCCTAGCTCCCAGAAGTCAGCCAACCAACACCTTTGCCCTCAGTTTGCTTTATATTTATGCTTTGTTTCAGATCCATGGAGATTTTCAAACTTGCAAAAACATAATCTCCCCCCACCACAGCTTTATTGAGGTGTAGCTAACAAATTATATATACTTATGGCTATACTGTGCTGTTTTGATATTTGCGTACAGTGTGAGTGATCAACACAAGCCAGATAGCAAACAGATAACAAACTCCCAGTTATCCTATGTTGTTGTGTCTGGAGTGTGGATAACAAGCATCTTTAAGATCTTCTCTCCTGGACTGGGGAGATGCTCAGTTTGTGGAGTGTTCATGCACGTGGGTTTAATCCCCTGGACCCACATTAACATTGGGCATGATGACAGACACCATGAAATCAGTGCTGGGGAGGTAGAGACAGACAGATCTCCAGTTCACTGGCCAGCCTCACCTAGTAGGTGAGCTCCAGGCTAATGAGAGACCCTTTCTCAAAAATAAGGTGTTCCGCTCCTGACATATAACATCTGAAATTGTCCGTCTGACCTCTGTCTGCACATGTGTAAACCTTGTCCTCTGGCCTCATCTGCACACATGAACATGTGAACATGCACAGACATAGAGATCTACTGTCCTGACAAGTGTCACATACAGTCTTCCCACGGTATTCACAAAGGTATCGGTTCTGGGAGCCCCACTGATAGCAGAATTTAAGAATGCACAGACCCTTTGTGTGAAATGTCATAGCTTTCATCTATCAACTAGACCGCCCTCCTCTCTTCTGCAGGTGGTCTAGATTCTGGATAGAAAACACCGTGGTAGCAGTATACACTATATTCAGGGAATGATGGCGGGAGAGAAGTCTGTGCATGTTTGGACGCAATTTCTCCTTGATATTTTCAGTCTGTAGTTGGCTGACTCCAGGGGTGGCAGAACCCAGGGATGGACAGTGTGATTTTCTCACCCATTCTCCCCATGTTGCACCTTCGATCTTCAGATTTTCCTGTCCCTGAATAATGGAAACTTTGAGTTTTGACCCTACACCCCCATGCCCTCTCATCTACTAGTGTGTGGCACTGTAATCCTACCTTCTGCTTTGGAGAATTCTAGATGATA